AACACTTACGAAAAATCATTTTATTCCAAATTTGTATTATCAGAAGAAACGAATAAAACTTAAATATCTGATGATAAAAATAATATCTGTGTCAGTGGAAAATGCTTCGTTAGGTATTGCTCTTACTTTTCGATTTATTCTTACTTATTCTTTTCAACTCTTAATTTTAAAGAGTTGAATTGTCTATTTTTACTCTGTAATAGATGTATTGTCTATCTGTACGTAATCGTAGGTTAAAAATTATCATGCAGTGTGTGTCGTCTACATATCTATTCTTCAGACCGAAAGCGATATTATTTACCTGTTTGTGATCGTTAGATTGAAATCATGCATCCATATAGTATAAGGTGATATTTCGTCTGTATATCAGGTCTTTAGACAGAAATTTTCTTTATCCGTTTGGAATTGTTAGACTGGAATCATACAGTGTGTCTCATTTATATATCTGATCTTTAGACCGAAAACAGTGTTGTTTATCTGTTTGGAATCGTTAGACTAGAATCATACAGTGTGCGTCGTCTATATATCTGATCTTTAGACCGAAAACAGTGCTGTTTAACTGTTTGTGATCGTTAGATTGAAGTCATGTAGTATGTCTCATCTATATATCTGATCTTTAGACCGAAAACAGTGTTGTTTATCTGTTTGTGATCGTTGGATTGAAGTCATGTAGTATGTGTCGTCTATATATCTGATCTTTTGATCGATAACAGTGTTGTTTATCTGTTTGTGATCGTTGGATTGAAGTCATGTAGTATGTGTCGTCTATATATCTGATCTTTAGACCGAAAACAGTGCTGTTTAACTGTTTGTGATCGTTGGATTGAAGTCATGTAGTATGTGTCGTTTATATATCTGATCTTTAGATCGATAACAGTGTTGTTTATTTGTTTGTGATCGTTGGATTGAAGTCATGTAGTATGTGTCGTCTATATATCTGATCTTTAGATTGATAACAGTGTTGTTTATCTGTTTGTGATCGTTAGATTGAGGTCATGTAGTATGTGTCGTCTATATATCTGATCTTTAGATCGATAACAGTGTTGTTTATCTGTTTGGAATCGTTAGACTAGAATCGTATAGTGTGCGTCGTCTACATATCTGATCTTAAGATTGAAATCAGTGTTATCCATCTGTTCATAAACATTAGATTGAAATCAAAACATTGTCTACCCGAACTTCATTGTTTAAACTGAAATTATTACGTTGTCTCACTGTGTTAGAACCAATGCGTTGCATGTTTAGGATAAGCGCAATGTTTGAATGACATTATTATCGTAAACTCCAATGCTTTAGTTATGCGGGACTGATACTTGAGTACGTATATTGTATTGTCTGTCTGAGTGACACTGTCAGCTTTTAGACTTCCAAAACGTTAGTAATAAAATAGAAACTATTGTTTTGTCTATTTGGAGGTTAATGTTGTGTACTTGGCCAGTATGTTGTCATTCTGGGTATCAATCCAGAATGACAACATACTGGCCAAGTACACAACATCCAGAATGACAACATACTGGCCAAGTACACAACACTGATATAGTACGATAGTAAAACCCATTATGACAACACATAGGTTAAGTATAACATTAATGTACAGGTTAGGTATAACGTTCACATACTGTATAACGAAATATCAATTCAAAGTACAACGTTAATGTACAGGTTAAGTATAACATTAATGTCTAGGATGACAACATACCAATTCAAAGTATAATATTAATGTACGGGTTAAATATAACATTAACATTTAGTATGACGACATATCAAGTCAAACTAAAACATTAGCATCCAGAATGACAACATACTAGCCAAGTACACAACATTGATACCCAGAATGACAACATACTGGCCAGGTACACAACAATGATATCCAGAATGGCAAATACTGGCCAAGTACACAACATTGATACCCAGAATGGCAAATACTGGCCAAGTACACAACATTGATACCCAGAATGACAACATACTGGCCAAGTACACAACATTAGCGAAACCAAAATGTTGTCATACTGGACGTGAATGCTAGATGTATCTGGACGTCAGTGTTTAAGGTAAGAACTAGAATGTTGCCTGTATGGACGCCAATATTAAGGTAAGAACTAGAATGTTGCCTGTATGGACGCCAATATTAAGGTAAGAAATAATGTACTGCTTATCAATACGTCAGCACTAGTGGTAAGAATTTATAGTTTGTGCATATACTAATCTAAGAAAACTTCTTTGACTAAAATCTAAAACTTCTTAAATATAAAGTAATAGTATGTAGCTAAAACGAGTTTCAATGATGTCATAAATACATATTTTGTTTGTGGGCATCAAGTTTTATGTGCAAATATCAAATAAAATTCTGAAAGTACTTGCCTCATATTAAATCACTCTTTCTTTTTAGGTTTCTCGTCAGTCACAATTTGAGAATAATCTACCTGTAAGCCTTTCTTTCTAAGAACAGGATAACCAATCATATGCGCCCCTTTAAACACATTTATATCTCGTAGTGAAAAATACTCAGAAGGTACTTTCCTACTGTGTCCAATCACACTATTATATTCGAAGATCAACCATAATTATTTAATGGTATTATTTAAATAACGTGCCCCTTGTCTTCTAAAAAATTCTAACTTATTTACATGAAGATTAGTAGTAAACATATGTTCAAAATACCTTCCATTTACTGAAGAACTTTTGTTGGACCCGAACACTTCACAAACAACTTACAATATAATAAGTTTATGGTTTCTTCTTTAAGAACATTCGAAGACTTGACATGTTGGGGAGTTGTGGCGATTTGTTTGAGCAAGACGGTTACTGAGCGGTTCTGAGCAGTTTCATTATTTCCAACAGGATCGTCCACTAATAACAGCTAAAGCTTATATGTTCTATGGTCTTGATCTTCTACTAGCAATATGGATAACTATTGCACCGCAGACTTTGATTTACCAAAATAACAGATTTCTGCATATAAACTTTCCTATCTCATTCTTTTAGTAACAACAGTAATCGCTAGTATGATCACATTAGCTATTCTATCTCCATTTATTTAATAATAACAACTGCAGCAGATTTATTTACGTTAAATCTTTCCCACAGTTTTAGACTAGAAATAGACGTAGTACGTTTGGTTATATGAGCTGCTCTATCCCAATTTTCATCAGTAATAACGACAGTAAATTAAACGTGAAGTACTTTACTAGTTATTATCATAAATTACTATTTGAATTGCCCACCGTATTCTTCCTGTATAGTAGGAACTACCACAAGTTCAATTACATTAACTGTTACAAATCGTTTTCCTGCTAGATAATTCCATGGCAGTTGCTACTAGGTCTTCCATTATAGTGATGCTCAAAATTTGTTTTCCAGCCAATGATAAATAGGTCACAAAATCTTAGATATATATAAGTTATTCTGCTTTGGTATTTCTTGACATTCAGAACCTATAGTAACATTTTAATATACGGGGTGGGCCATAACAAATCCCCAAGAAAAGGAAAATGAAACTATAAGTAACACAACAAATCCTTTTTCGTGATTAATGTATATTTTCATGATCCCTAAATCGTTCTGCCCATATCAAATTTAATGCTCAAAGTGTCCATTGTTACCATCGTTGATAATAGAAGACACTAAATATTTAAAGTGTCCATTGTTATCACCGGTGGTAATGGAGGATACTGAATATTTAAAGTGCCCATTGTTATCACCGTTGATAATGGAAGACACTGAATATTTAAAGTGTCCATTGTTATCACCGTTGATAATGGAAGACACTGAATATTTAAAGTGTCCATTGTTATCACCATTGATAATGGAGGATACTGAATATTTAAATTGTCCATTGTTATCACCGTTGATAATGGAAGACACTGAATATTTAAAGTGTCCATTATTATCACCGTTGATAATGGAGAATACTGAATATTTAAAGTATCCATTGTTATCACCATTGATAATGGAGGATACTGAATATTTAAATTGTCCATTGTTATCACCGTTGATAATGGAAGACACCGAATATTTAAAGTATCCATTGTTATCACCGTTGATAATGGAGGATACTGAATATTCAAAGTGTCCATTATCATCACCGTTGATAATGGAGAATACTGAATATTTAAAGTATCCATTGTTATCACCGTTGATAATGGAAGACACTGAATATTTAAAGTGTCCATTGTTATCACCGTTGATAATGGAGGATACTGAATATTTAAATTGTCCATTGTTATCACCGTTGATAATGGAAGACACTGAATATTTAAAGTATCCATTGTTATCACCGTTGATAATGGAAGACACCGAATATTTAAAGTATCCATTGTTATCACCGTTGATAATGGAGGATACTGAATATTTAAATTGTCCATTGTTATCACCGTTGATAATGGAGGATACTGAATATTTAAAGTGTCCATTATTATCACCGTTGATAATGGAGAATACTGAATATTTAAAGTGTCCATTATTATCACCGTTGATAATGGAGAATACTGAATATCTGTACCTGATCCAGTTACCATTCAAGTAGAGCATAATTAAAAAGAAAGTTTGTGGTGTTACTTGTAGTTTCATATTTCTTTACTAGGGAAGTACTTCACTATGGCCCACTCTATAATATTCGAAGTTTCGAAACACAATTTCTCATGACTAACTTCCCCCCAGTGAATGAAATTCTATGATTAGTAGAATATAGAAGTTTTATATGATACATTTTATCGCGAGAAGGCCACTGAGAGATTACCACTGTTGTATATACGTATAGAGAATTATCAGTACCCTCCTACCCGTTTTACTGCATCATGCAGCAAGTGTTTCAAATGGAACAGACTTCTAGATTACTCTAATATCAATACTGCTTAACCAAACATCATTGTGTAGAAAAAATATTGACGTAATTTCCACAAAATAGTGTGATATGTTACGAAAGAATGTCTGTGGGGATAGATGTGTCCTACCTATGTTTTTATCTCGGAAATTTTTAGAGAAGCGTTGAATTTTCTGGTAGGATAAAAGTGGTCATATAACAGTTCAAACTGTTGGCTCGTTCACATGAAAGTCTGTAATTTGATTTAAGGATCGTACTTCCGTTTTAGAGTTTCATTCAGAAAGCCGATCCAACGACATGGATTTCACTAACGTGTTGAGAGTGTTTGTTGAATCCACTTGTGAATCATCTTCGATCTTGATGCAGGGACATGTTCCAATAACCAATTCCCTTGAAAGGTCTTGACTCTCACTCATTGATACGTCTGTAATAGTAGGGGTGGTCGTGTCTAATGAATGACGTAATGTTACACGCTTCTTTAACCTCTGACACAGGTCTGAATTTCCTCGCTGCATGGACCGCCCAAAGCTTTTCGAAATTGGAGTATTTGGTTCACTAGCTTGTTTATCTACGAGAATTGATTTGGGTTTAGGTAGAGCTGTTGGTGTGGGACTGGTTTGGGTTGTGTTTGGTTGGACAGACGTTTGACTTGCCATGGTGTTCCTTCGTTGTCGGTCTTCAAGAAATATATCCATCAGCTTATCTATCTTCGCTTCTATATGTTCTACCTAAAAAAATAAAGAAAACAACTTAAGAATAAAAGCTGATTCTTGAAAAATATTTATTATCTGTATCAAATGGTCAAGTTTTATTTCTAAATGAGCCACTTGAGAAAAGGAGAGATTAGTTTAAGATATGTACATCAGCTTGACTAACTGCATATATACTCGCTCTTACTAATAAAATAATAAAACTTATTTAACAGTTGGTCTAATTTTATATTTAAATCCCTTACATTAAAAAAAGAAAATAGTGAAACACACGTAGCAGTTATTTCAGTTTAAATTTACATTCTCTACTTGAAGCAAAAATAAACAACAAACCAATTTTAATTGTTATTTTATCCTCCATCCGAAAAAAGACAGTAAAACATATGTAACTGTTGTTCCAGTTTTATGTTTACAGCTTTTACCTGAAACAAAAACAGACAATAAAACATATGTGTCTGTTTTTGTTTCAGGTAAAAGCTGTAAACATAAAACTGGAACAACAGTTTACTTAATTACAAACAAACAAACTCTCTCTTTTTTTACCTAGAGTTACAATAAATGTCTTATTCTTCTTTTATGAGATAGAGAATGTAAATATTAAACTCGAACAAATGTTATATGCATTTTATTTATCTGTTTTTGTTTCAAGTAGAGGTTGTATATATAAAGCTGTGACAACAGTTACAGATGCTTTATTGTCTGTTTTTGTTTCAGGTAAAAGCTGTAAACATAAAACTGCAACAACAGTTACATATGCTTTATTCGCTAGAATCCGGGTTTCAATACCCGTGGTGGGCAGAGCACAGATAGCCCATTGTGTAGCTTTGTTGTAAGTCTGCAGACATACCGCTGTGCCACGGGGGGGGGGGACGAAAAGAGAGAGAGAGAAAGTTAGTGAGAAAACTAAAACGTCTTACGGCGTTCAATATTTGATTTCGGTATCCTCTACCTTAAGAAGGAAGCATGAAACGTGCTACAACTATTGTTCGGGTTTTTAGCCCGGCATGGCCAGGTGGTTAGGGTGCTCGACTTCCAATATGAGGGTCGCGGGTTCGAATCCCCGTCCCACCAAACATGCTCGCCCTTTCAGCCGTGGGGGCGTTATAATGTGACGGTCAATCCCACTATTCGTTGGTAAAAGAGTAGCCCAAGAGTTGGCGGTGGATGGTGATGACTAGCTGCCTTCCCTCTAGTCTTACACTGCTAAATTAGGGACGGCTAGCGCAGATAGCCCTCGTGTAGCTTTGCGCGAAATCCAAAAACAAACAAACAAACAATCGGGTTTCTAATTTGCACCGTGTTAAAATTAAAAAAAAAACGAAAATAAAACATTTGTAACAGCTGATTCAAATTCTTATTTCCGTAATACTTAAATGAGAAGTAGAGTACAAGTCTGAAATATCTGTTTCTGTTGGTCTAGTTTCACATACACATTTTCTGAGAGAAGGAAAGTATAGAATATATGTGAAACTAGACCAACAGAAACTGGTACTCAATACAAAAAAAAAGTAGAAAACTTCTGAGTTATGAATGATTAATTAATAACGAGGTTTCAACTTAAAAGAAATAACATATTCCTATGAGCTGATTCAGTTTCATAAATATAAATGGTAACAAAATATTGCGTTATTATTAAGGTTTATTTTTACATTTTCAAAATAAAACGAGAAAAGAGCATCCCCCCCCCCTCTGTTTGCTAATGATATACATCCTCACACTAGAAATAGTGAAATTAAAAATGAGCACTTGTTAGTAACGATCAGGATTACGGATTTTCTAAGACATTGTTCTCGACAACTTTTTTTGTCTCTTTATCAAAAACAAGTCCTCTACAGGCTCAGCTGTAGTAAGCACAGCACATATAACCCATTGTGTAACTTTGTGCTTAACATCAACCAAACCAAAACAATGTTTTGAAGTACGACAAACAGCACTATAGAGATTTGATAATAAATTTGTATTTTAGGCTATTATTCAGAATAATCCACTTGACTTGTTCAGTTTGAATTATTTGAAAACACACTAAAAATAAACTATGTCCGAATAGGATGATATCCGAAAACAAAATCATGTAAAAATCATTATGACAAGAATACTGTCTATAACTAGTTCTGGTTCTATTCACGTTATTTTAATATAGTTTTTAACTAATGTCCCCAAAAACTGCTTACAGTTCACAAAGAGCAACATAAGACTTTAGCATTTTATAAAACCTTTACAAAACAAATGAGCTCTCAGTGAACTAAATAAATCACCAAATAAAACTGTTACTCGCAGTTTCCAGTTTTCCAAGTTTTTGTATTCTTTTAAAAGATTGTTTCCCCCAAAAAATCTGTATGTTCCACCACTGGGATACTTTAGGACTTTGTATAAGTTAAACGTCATGTGTTTTTTTGTTTTTTTTAAACCGTACAAAAAATATATTGCAGTTTGTTTAGGGTCAAACAGCAGATTAACTGGGTTGTATTGAACTCTTAGTAGGAATCAACTATTTGTATTTATGTTTCCCAAAATTTGTTCTTTAACAGCAATATCAATTACTTACGATATACTTGTGATGATCCGATATCAATAGTTATTATGGTTAGTTGCCTAAACGATCACTTAAGTCTATATTTAATTAGTTATTAATTTCTTATGATATACGTTTTAGTTGCTAATTTGCTGCTGTTTACATGGGAAACCCGAGGAGGACTGTTTGTGGTGGTAGGAGACAGACTCTCTGTCTTGTTTTTATAAAGAAAGTTGTGTTATACTTGAATTCAGGGGAATAACTAGCTATGAGGACACGAGATCATATCCTTGGTTGTTTTTGGGCTTCCTTCAAACACCAGTGGCGTAGCAAGAGGGGGCAAGGGGGCGGTCGCTCCTGGGCGCAGGTGTGAAGGGGCACAAAATTTCCTCTGGCCTATAATGCCTATTAACTAATAAGTAAATTACACTATTCCATCATTCATCTGTAGATCAAATACAAGTCCTAGAGTACAACGTACAATTAAGTGTATGTTCAACAAAAAGAAAATACGAGATTGATGTAATCTATTAACTAGTGTGCAAGATTGGCAATATATGCAACAGGCAAGGTCTAGATCTAAATCTAGTAAACATTATAGGTCCATCATCATACAAATTGTAGCCTATATTATAGGCATACTTAGACCTATACTAACTATTAAACAACGCATTGCACT